TCTGACCATGTCACTCCCACAATGGTTTGTCACTTTAGGTAATATAAAGCAGACCAATTTTGTTAGCATTCAGAGTAACTCTATCATTTAGACCCTGCATAACAAACTCTGTCCCCCACTATGCTTCTCTATCCCCCAGGACCTCCACCCAACTTTGCCAGCCTATTAGTCATTTCCCCAGCATGTTTCCTGTATCATCGCATTTCGACTTTTTCTCCAAAGCTATTTTTCCTTTGTTTTGCTACCCTTTAACTGCCTCATTCCCTAACATCCACCCAGTCAAGAGTACTCATTTGTTAAAGTCCAACTCTATCTAATCCAAAAAGAGGAATTAACATTTACCTAGAAAAGGAGTGAAGCGTTGTAATCAGAGGCACAGGATCTGGAGCCAGACTGGGTTTCAGTCCCAGTTCTCTGCCATTCCCTAGTTACATAACTTGGGCAGGTTACTATGTCTCACGTCCCTCCTCTGTAAATTGGGATATATGCTGTAATATACACTATATGAGTATTTGATATTATGTGGCAAATATGGTGTAAGAACTTGTCATATATATTACCTACTTTAATCCTCCCAACGACTCTGAGATATTATTATTCAAATTTTACAGACAGCCTCTTAAGACTCAAATAATTTACTTATAGCCTCAAAGCTGGTAGAAATGGAAAGCTGGAATTCAAGCTCAAATCTGTCTGGACCAATGCCCAGGTTCTCTTTACAGCACTGGAAAAAGCACTAGGAAAGAACCAGAGAGGTCTAATCTCTTAAACTTACTGTTAGATAGACTCTGTAAAAGAGAATGTGTGTGCTGGTAAGGAGCATAGAGAAACACAGGAGGGTGAGGAAGTAATATTAGGCTCAGAGTCAAAGGCAGTTGATAGAACAATGTGTAACCCCACAGGCAAAAAAAAAAAAAAGACAGGAAACATGGATATGAGCCCAACAGCAATATCAGACTTTGTTACTGGGAAAAGGTTAATGTGTTCCTAAAACAGTTAACTTGAGAAGGCAGGTGTTATATCTAACATCTTAACTTTAGGGAGCCTAGCACAAAATCAGGGACTTAAAGAGTTTAAAGAAGTCACTTGGCCAAGTGCACTGGCTCACACCTATAATCCTAGCACTTTGGGAGGGAGGCTGAGGCAGAGGACTGCTGGAGCCCAGGTGTTCAAGGTTATGGTAAGCCAGGATGGTGCTAATGCACTCCAGCCTGGGTGACAGAGGGAGACCCTGTCTCAAAAAAAAAAAAAAAAAGTCACTCTATTATCTCATCCAGTTCTTAAGTATTGAAAGAAAAAACTATCAACCTAGAATTCTAAAGCTCATAAAAATATTTTTCAAAAGGCCAAGGAAGAAGTAAAGACTCTTTCAGACAAAATCAGCAGAGAGAAATCAGCAGTTCAAGAAGCTCTTCAGGCAGAAGGAAAATGGTATCTAATAGACATTTTGATCTACATAAAGCAGCAGAAATGGTAAATATGTGGTAGACAAAGAGGTTTTTTCTAAAAGATGATGAAGATGAACTCTTTAAAGCAAAACTAACAGGAACATATTGTAGGTTTATAACTATTATATAAAGAAAAGTAACCACAACAGTAGCAAAAGGGACAAGAGGGAGGAAATGTTAGCATATTGTTGTTAGGTGCCCATACACAGACACACACACACACACACACACACACACACACACACACGTGAGGTAATATACATGAGGTTGTATAATATTATTTAAAGGTATACTGTGATGTTGATGAGATAAAGCCATATATTTAAACACAGTTGCTAAAATCAAATAAAGAGGTGTAGCTAATAAGCCAATAGTGAAGATAAAATGGAGTCCCAAAATATAATCCAAAAAAGGGCAGAAAAAGAGAAATACACAAAACACAAAACAAAATAGATTTAATCTCAACTCTATCAATAATTACATTAAGTGTAAATGGTCTAAATATTCCCAATTAAAAGGAAGAAATTGTGAGATTGCATTTTTTAAAAAAGATCCAACTGAATGCTATCTATAAGAAACTTACTTTAAATATAAAGGCACCAAGAGATTAAATGTTAAAGGACAGACAGACTTCCATCTTTGCGGTGTTATGAAGCTATCTGCAAATCCTCATCCTCAAAAATAAACACAAAACTAGAAAAAAATGACAAAAATAAACATTTCAGGCGTCTGAAAATGAACCAAAGGCAGACCAAACACTGAGAAGCATTTATTCTTTAAAAATTGCCAGAGCTTTAGGTATTAAGTATTAAAAGAAATTTGGTTTCTCAGCCTCAGTCCCTGCATTGTGAGCTGAATAATTCCTTGCTTCGGGGGCTGCCCAGGCATTGCAGAATATTAAGCAGTATCTCTGGCTTCCAGCCACTAGGTACCAACAGCATTTCCCCAGTTGCAACAACCAAAAACGTCTCCAGACTTTTCCAAATGTCCCTATGGAGCAAAATCAGGAAGATAAACAATAATAGAACTAAATGCACCCAGTAAAGATCCCTAAAACACAGAAAGTAAAAACTGACAGTAGAGAATGCAGAAATAAACAATTCAGTAGAACAATTACAGTTGGTGTGTTGATACTCCCCTCTTGGAGTATCCATTTATAAAACAATTAGAAAATCAGTAGGTATATAGAGGGCTTGAACAACATTATCAATCAACTTGACCTAACCAACGTGTAGAGAGCATGTCACCAGCAAAAGCAGAATACACATTTTTTGGTCAAACATATAATGGAATATTCTATAAGATAGACATATGCTAGGGCATAAAACAAATCTCAACAAATTTAAAAGGGTTAGTATAAAAGAAAGTAATTTTATCTAGGCACCACAAAATTAAACTAGAAGTCAAGATATTTGGGAAATCTCAAATGCTTAAATTTAAAAATTAAGTGACACACTTTTTATATTTTTCTTTCTTTCTTTTTTTTTTTTTTTTTTTTGACACAAGGTCTCATTCTGTCACCTAGACTGGAGTGCAGTGACGTGATCACACCTCCCTATACCCTTGACCTCCCAGGCTCAAGAAATTCTTCTACCTCAGTCTCCTGAGTAGCTAAGACCACAGATTTGTACCACCATGCCTGGCTTTTTTTTTTTTTTTTTTTGTAGAGACAGGATCTCCATATTTTGCCAAGGCTGGTCTCAAGCTCCTGGGCTCAAGTGATCCTCCTGCCTCAGCCTCCTAAAGTTCTGGGATTATAGGTGTAAGCAACTGTGTCTGGCATAAATGACACACTTCCAATAGCCATAGGTCAAGGAAATCACACAGGAAATTAAAAAAATAACTTGAACTGAATGAAAATGAAAATACAACATATAAACATAGGTGAGAAGCAGCTAATGGTGACTACAGGGAACTTTTTAGCATTAGATATTTATATTAGAAGAAAAGAAAGGTCTTGAATCAGTGGTCTAAGTGCCACCTTAAGAATTAGAAAAAGATTAACCCCCAAAAAAGCAGAAGAAAGAAAATACACTACAAATCAGAAATCAATGGACAAAACAAAGCAAAACAGGAAACAAGTGGAAACCAATCAATGAAAACAAAAACTGGTTATTTGAAAAGAACAGTAAAGTTAATAAACCTCTAACCACATTGATAAGCAAAAAACGAGAGAAAGAGAGAGAAAGAAGACAAGATATAAATTACCAAGATCGGGAATGAAAGAGAAGACAACACCGATCTTAAAGACGAGGCGAGGATGCCTGCTCTGACCACTTCTATTTCACTTTGGACTTGGTATCTAGCCAGACAATAAAGCAAGAAAAATGTAAATAAAAGGCATACAGATAAGAAAGAAGGAAGCAAAACTAGTTTTATTCTAAGATGCAATCATCTGTGTAATATATTCTAAGGTCACAGGACACAGGGTCAATATACAAAAATAAATTGTATTTCTATATTACTAGCAAAGAAGTGGAAATTAAAATGAAAAAGGGACAATTTACAATAGTATCTCGAAAAGGAAATATTTAGGGATAATGTAAAAAGATCACTATATTAGGCCGAGAGTGGCAGCTCACACCCGTAATCTCAGCACTTTGGGAGGCCAAGGCCAGCAGATCACCTGAGGTCAGGAGTTCGAGACCAGCCTGACTAACATGGAGCAATCCTGTCTCTACTGAAAATACAAACTTAGCCAGGTGTGGTGGTGCATGCCTGTAATCCCAGCTACTCGGGAGGCTTATGCAGGAGAATCGCTTGAACCCGGGAGGTGGAGGTTGCAGTGAGCCAAGATTGCACCATTGCCCTCCAGCCTATGCAACAAGAGCAAAACTTTGTCTCAAAAAAAAAATATATATATATATATATTGAATACTACAAAACACTTGAGAGAAATTTTAAAAGACTCAAATAAATGGAGAGATACGGTATGTTTATGGATCAAAGGAATCAATATTGTTAAGATGTCAACTCTTCCTAAATCAATCCATAGAGTCAGTGTAACCCATTCAATGCCCCACCAGCCCTCCTCCCTGGATTTTTTTGGTAAGCATTAATAACCTAGTCCTGAAATTCAAATAGAAATACAAAGGATGACACTTTTATTTTTATTTATTTATTTATTTATTTGAGATGGAGTTTCACTGTTGTTACCTAGACTGGAGTGCAATGGCATAATCTCGGCTCACTGCAACCTCTGCCTTCTGGGTTCAAGCAATTCTCCTGCCTCAGCCTCCCGAGTAGCTGGGACTACAGGTGTGCACCACCATGCCCAGCTAATTTTTGTATTTTTAGTAGAGACGAGGTTTCACCTTGTTGACCAGGATGGTCTCGATCTCTTGACCTCATGATCCACCTGCCTCGGCCTCCCAAAGTGCTGGGATTATAGGTGTGAGCCACTGCACCCAGCCTAGGATAACACTTTTATTTGGCAGCTATTTCTCTTGAAGTTCAGTGGTTCAGGACCTGCAGCACCTGCTGAGTTAGGAGGGACAGGAGAGCTGCAGCTAGGTCAGTGGCAAGTAGCCTGCAACATTCCCTTTAGATACGATGAGTTTACCCCTCAGTCTTAAATCTTTCCTCAGTGGATTAACAGGAAAGCCAGTGATGGTGAAGCTTAAGTGGGGGAATGAGTACAAGGGCTACTTGGTGTCTGTACATGGCTACATGAACATGCAGCGTGCAGATACAGAACTCATAAATGAGGCATTATCTGGACATCTAGGTGAAGTTTTAGTAAGGTGGAAATAATGTCCTTTATATCAGAGGTGTGGAAGAAGAGGAATGGGGAAATGAATGAATAGCATCTTTTGAAGGGGGTTTTAAATATATATATTTCTAGACAATAAAGATTTGGTTTTCAAAAAAAGAAAACATAAAGGCCCAGGAGTAACCAAAACCATTTTGAAAAAGAACGAAGTAATTTCAAGACTTACTATAACGTTACAGTAATCAAGGCAGTGTGGTATTTATGTAAGCACAGAGACACAGATCGATGAAACAGAATAGAGGGTCCAGAAACAGATCATCTACACAGTCAACTGAAAGTTGATAAATATGCCGAAGTTACTCAATGGAGACAGGATAGTCTTTTCAACAATTGAATATCCATGTGCAAAAATATGAAACTTAACCCTTGCCTTCATAACACATACAAAGGTTAATTCAGAGTGAATCACAGACTTAAATATCAGAGCTAAAACTACAAAACTTCTAGAAGTAAACAAAAGCAAAAATATTTGTGGCCTTATTAGGGAAAATTTTCTAAGACCTTTGGAAAAGCATGGACCATAGAAGAAAAAAATTGATAAACTAAACTTCTGCAAAATTTTTAAAAATCTGCTCTCCAAGTTACATTATTCAAAAAATGAAAAGGCAAGAAGTCACAGACTGGGAGAAAATATTTGCAAAACATATATAAATGACTTAGATCTATAATATATATATATATTTTTTGAGATGGAGTTTTGCTCTTGTTACCCAGGCCAGAGTGCAATGGCGCGATCTCGGCTCACTGCAACCTCCGCCTCCTGGGTTCAGGCAATTCTCCTGCCTCAGCCTCCTGAGTAGCTGGGACTACAGGCACATGCCACCGTGCCCAGCTAATTTTTGTATTTTTAGTAGAGACTGGGTTTCACCATGTTAACCAGGTTGGTCTCGATCTCTTGACCTCGTGATCCACCCGCCTCGGCCTCCCAAAGTGCTGGGATTACAGGCGTGAGCCACTGTGCCTGGCTAGAATATGTTTTTAATGTGCCACACACATACACAAACCCATACAAATACTAACAATTTGGCTTCAAAAAAGGACAAAAGATTTGAACAGATACTTCACTGAAGAAGGCATTTGTCAATGCAAATAAACATATGGAAAGATGCTCCGTATCATTAAACACCAAGGAAACGCAAATTTACACCAAAATAAGATGCCACTAGAATAGCTAAACTTAAAAAGACTTACAATGTCAAGTGTTGACAAGGATATGGAGCAACTGGGGCTCATACGCTGCTGCCAAGGAGAATAGCCACTTTGAAAAACTGTTTGGGAGTTTCTTACATTGTTAAATATACAGTTACCATATGATCCAGCAATCTCACTCCTAGATTTATCAAAAAGCAATGAAAACATATGTCCACACAAACACTTGTACTCAGCGGTTCATAGAAGCTTTATTCATAATAGACACAAATTGTAAACAAACCATTTATTATCTAGTGAATGAACACTGTGGTATAATTCTACAACGGAATATTACTCAGCCATGAAAAGGAATGGACTACTGATACACTCAAGAGCACAGATAAATCTCAAAACCATTACAGTAAAGAAGCCCAACACAGAAGGGTCCATACTGTACATAAAATACCATTTTTACAAAATTCTAGAAAAGCTAAAATAGTGGTTGAAAATCATCAAAGGCCAGATGTGGTGGCTCACACTTGTAATCCCAGCACACTTGTAATCCCAACACACCTGTAATCCCAGCACGCCTGTAATCCCAGCACGCTTGTAATCCCAGCACGCCTGTAATCCCAGCACGCCTGTAATCCCAGCACGCCTGTAATCCCAAAACGCCTGTAATCCCAGCACACCTGTAATCCCAGCATGCCTGTAATCCCAGCACACCTGTAATCCCAGCACGCCTGTAATCCCAGCACACCTGTAATCCCAGCACGCCTGTAATCCCAGCATGCCTGTAATCCCAAAACGCCTGTAATCCCAGCACACCTGTAATCCCAGCACGCCTGTAATCCCAGCACGCCTGTAATCCCAGCACACCTGTAATCCCAGCACCCCTGTAATCCCAAAACGCCTGTAATCCCAGCACACCTGTAATCCCAGCACCCCTGTAATCCCAGCACGCCTGTAATCCCAGCACCCCTGTAATCCCAAAACGCCTGTAATCCCAGCACACCTGTAATCCCAGCACGCCTGTAATTTCAGCACGCCTGTAATCCCAGCACGCCTGTAATCCCAGCACACCTGTAATCCCAGCACACTTGTAATCCCAGCACACTTGTAATCCCTTTTTTGGGAGGCCAAAAAAGGCAGATCTCTTGAGCCCAGACATTCAAGACCGGCCTGGGCAACGTGGCAAAACCTGGTCTCAACTAAAAATTAAAAAAAAAACAGCTGGGTGTGGTGGCACACCTCTGTAGTCCCAGCTACTCAGGAGATTAAGGTGGAGGATCACATGAGCCCAGGAGATAAGGCTGCATTGAGCCATGATCACGTGTAGAGCCATGACACGATGTTATGAAATATGTATACACTGTGGAACGGCAAGTCAAGCTGATTAACTACATATTACCTCACATACTTAACATTTTTTGTGGTGAGCACCCTTAAAATCTACTCTCAGTGATTTTCTTTTTCTTTATTTTTTTTTGAGACAAGCTGGAGCGCAGTGGCGCAATCTTGGCTCACCTCTGCCTCCAGGCTCAAGTAATCCCAGCTGGGATTACAGGCGTGCTGGGATTACAGGTGTGCTGGGATTACAGGCGTGCTGGGATTACAGGTGTGCTGGGATTACAGGTGTGCTGGGATTACAGGCGTGCTGGGATTACAGGCGTGCTGGGATTACAGGCGTGCTGGGATTACAAGCATGCTGGGATTACAGGCGTGCTGGGATTACAAGCGTGCTGGGATTACAATCCTCCATAACATCGTGTCAACACCTCTACAATCTAGCCTGGGTGACAGCGAGACCCTGTCTCTCAAAATAAAACAAGAAATAAAGAAAAGAAAAGCAGATCAATGGCTGCCAAAAGCTGGAGGCTGGAAAGGGGACAGAATACAAAAGAACAGGATGGAACTTTCTGGGTGGTGGAAATGATCCATATTTTGATTATGGTGGTGTTCATATGACTACATGTGTTTATCAAAACTCACTGAATTCATACGTAAAATGAGTGAAACTTGCTGTATGTAAATTATACCTCAATAAGCTAATAAAATATGAGGAGTAGGTGGGAGAGATGTTGCTCAAAGGATATAAAATTTCAGTTAGGAGGAATAAGTTCAAGAGATCTATTGTACAACATGGTGACAGTAGTTAATAACAATGTATTATATTCTGGAAAATCGGCCAGGTGAGGTGACTCACACCTGTAATCCCAGCACTGTGGGAGGCCGAGGCAGGAGGATCACTTGAACCTAGGACTTCAAGACCAGCCTGGGCAACATAGGGAGACCTTGCCTGTACAGATAATTTAAAAATTAGCCTGTCGTGGTGGTTCGAGCCTATGGTCCCCGCTACTCGGGAAACTGAGGAAGGAAGATTGCCTCAACCCAGGAGGTTAGGGCTAAAGAAAGCCATGATCGCATCACTGCGCTCCAGACTGGTAACTGACAGGCTGCAAGACTTTGTCTCAAAATAAATAAATAAATAAATGCCCTGCACGGTGGCTCACACCTGTAATCCCAGCACTTTGGGAGGCCGAGGCAGGCGGATCACCTGAGCTCAGAAGTACAAGCATAGGCAAGTCACTGTAGGCCAGCCGAGACAACTGAGCACCACCCTGGGCAACATGGTGAAACCCATCTCTACTAAAATACAAAAAAATTAGCTGGTCATGGTGGCAGGTGCCCGTAGTTCCAGCCACTTGAGAGGCTGAGGCACGAGAACTGCTTGAGCCTGGAGGCAGAGGTGAGCCAAGATTGCGCCACTGCGCTCCAGCTTGTCTCAAAAAAAAAATAAAGAAAAAGAAAATCACTGAGAGTAGATTTTAAGGGTGCTCACCACAAAAAATGTTAAGTATGTGAGGTAATATGTAGTTAATCAGCTTGACTTGCCGTTCCACAGTGTATACATATTTCATAACATCGTGTCATAGACAGTAAATATATACAATTTTGTCAATTTAAGAAACAGACAGTTTCGGGGTTTTTTGTTTTGTTTTGTTTGTTTTATGTCACCAGGCTGGAGTGCAGTGGTGCGATCTTGGCTCACAGCAACCTCTGCCTCCCAGGTTCAAACGATTCTCCTGCCTCAGCCTCCTGAACAGTTGGAACTACGGGCACGCACCACCATGCCCGGCTCATTTTTGTATTTTTAGTAGAGACAGGGTTTCACCATGTTGCCCAGGATTGTCTCGATCTCCTGACCTTGTGATCCGCCCACCTCAGCCTCCCAAAAGTGCTGGGATTACAGGCGGGAGCCACGGTGCCACGGCAAAAAACAGAAAAGTTTAAAAAACAATGCCCTTAACCATCTTGGAAAACTGGATATGAATGATTCCTGCATAATGAAGGGCCTTTTTCACACTGACCACAGGTCAGTGACCCTCAGGCTACCACTTGAAAGATCAGTCATGAAGACCTCGCTGATTTAAAACCTTGGGTTTAAAAAGTCATCACTAATAATGCTAGCTTTTCAAAAAAAAAAAAAAAAAAAGCTCAGATACTACACATTAAAAAAATAATGTAAACATTGAAGATAGACCTTTTCACACATAAAATTGCTTCTTTGAAATGAATTCATAAATTACTTAATTGCTATGTCAGGAGGGAGCCTGTCTATTGGAAAAAAGAGGCTATGGAAATTGTCACTTGAGTTAAAGAAAAGTGTATTTTGTGTCTAAAATACTCTGGTCACTGTGCAGACCCTTCCACCACAGAGGAAGAAAGGAAAGAGCAAACCACAATTAAAATTCAATGTGACATGAACAGTGATAAAAAAGCATACAGGGGCCAAGTAAGGTGGCTCACACCTGTAATCTCTACAATTTGGGAGGCCCAGGCGGTAGGATCTCTTGAGGCCAGGAGTTTGAGACCAGCCTGGGCAATATAATGAGACCTCATCTCTACACAAAAAATATAAAATTAGCCAGGCATTGTGGTGTATGCTTGTGGTCCTAGCTACTCGGGAGGCTGTGGTGGGAGGACTGTTTAAGCCCAGGAGTTTGAGGCTGCAGTGAGCTATAAACTGTTCCTCTGTACTCCAGCCTAGGCAGCTGAGCAAGACCGTCTCTAAGAAAAATTGCTTCTAAAAAGGCATAGAAGGTACTGTAATACTGAAAACAGGACGAAGAATTCTGCAGATGACAGAGATGGAGTCAGCATTAGGGAAGCCTTTAGAAGGGAGATGAAACCTGATCAAGGCAGACAAATATTCCCAAAGAACCCAGAGGGCTCTGTGCTGAGTGAGAGGGATAAGAAGGGACATGGGCTTAGCATAACTTGTTATCCTTTGAGACAACCTGGGAAATTAATTTCAAGAACATGCACCTGCTTCCATCTTTGGACTTCCCAGCAAGACCCTTCTTCTGTATTTCAATATTCCTCTAAAAAAAGTACTGTCCCAGTACGACAGGCTAATTTTTAAATTATCTGTACAGGCAAGGTCTCCCTATGTTGCCCAGGCTG